GTCCCATGGACCGCAAGAAGATCAAACCTCTCCATTCTGAAGGAAATCAGCCCTGAGTGCTCACTGCAAGACAGAGCTGCAAGACAGAGCTGTTCCACCAGGCCTTTGGCCAGGACACAGCCTGACTCCCTCCTTCGGCAATCTTCGCGGAGCTCTGGCCCAATGGTTGCCAGTGGTTTGTTTTGAATTAATTTTATAATGAATGATTTTAGAGTGTTGTGTTGTACTGTTGTACTGTTTTATTGTTGTTAGCCGCCCTGAGCCCGGCTTCGGCTGGGGAGGGCGGGATATAAATAATTTTTTTTATTATTATCACTGGAAGGACAGATCCTGAAGCTGAGGCTCCAAGACTTTGGCCACCTCATGAGAAGAGAAGACTCCCTGGAAAAGACTCTGATGTTGGGAAAGATTGAGGGCGCAAGGAGAAGGGGACGACAGAGGAAGAGATGGTTGGACAGTGTTCTCGAAGATACCAGCATGAGTTTGACCAAAGGGCGGGAGGCAGTGGAAGACAGGAGTGCCTGGTGTGCTCTGGTCCATGGGGTCATGAAGAGTCGGACACGACTAAACGACTAAACAACAACACCTGAGGGCAAGGATGGTATTATTGCTGAGTGTTGTTGTTTTGTTTTGTTTATAATGATGTACAGTAATTTGTATACCACCCACAGGGCAGTTCACAACATAAATCCAACACGTAAACCACTCTGGGAGCTTTCCCATCCCCAAGCTGAAGACTAACACCCATCACCCTCCCAGCCTTCGAATGGATAGACAAAAGCAACTCCTAACCCCCCCGCCCCCTCCCCACGAAGGGCAGCGTGTCTCTCGTTGGCCATCTCTACCGCGCAGGGTTGATTGGATATTGAAATCCAAGGCAATGTTTGGCATCTAATCTCCCGCTTAACAAACTCTTCTTATTGCTGCCTCCTAAATGAGGACGACGAGGTGCAATCATGTTAAACAGTTTCCGCCTCGCTGAAGCAGATTGGTAGGGAGCTCGCCCACCCCCAGGCTAGCAATGGGCGCGGGGGGGGGGGGCGCTGCTTGCTGCTAATGGCACAGAGCCTGGCTTCCCAGGCTGCTCCCCCTATCTCTCCGCGGTGCTTAAAATGTAAATGAATTTCATTATTAGCAACTCCATCCACTAATTGCCATCCAAAGCCATTCATTACCCTGTCAGCTTATTGGTTGGAGGACAACAGAGTGGCTCATTTATCGCAGGCTAAGGAAAAGCTGAAATTAGCTCATGCATATATAGAGAGGGGGGAAGGGGGAGGCAGGTGGGGGGGAAAGCAGGGGGGTGCAGGGGAGGGCAGAAGGGGGAAAGGGGACTGCTTAATTGTTTTAAAAGAGGAGAGACTAAAGAAAAGGAGATGATGAAGGGTGATTAAAATGGAGGCGAGAGAGTGATTAAAAGCTATTATCTATCCCCCACTCCTCCGCCAGCCGTTTGCATCTGATGGAGTGGAGTCCGCGGAAGCTTATGGCAGAATAAATAAAGGAGTATTTAAGGCGCTGCAATACTCGTTTGTTGACTTTGCTGCAACAAACACGGCCACCGCTAGAGAAAGCACAGCAGCCTATTCAAATATTCTGTCTCAAGATTTTTCACTTAACAAAAAAAATATTTCCCATCAGCTCTAGTTACATAATACATGTTTGGGATTTTTATATGAATAATTCTGAAATCCTTACTTGGGCAATGAATTCATTAGGGCCAACCATATGGTCACAAAACAGCAAGCAAACTTTTGAGGGTTTTTTATTTTGAATTCTTGGTTAGGCAGAAGTTCATCTGTTAGGCCAGTGTTTCCCAACGGGGGGGGGTGTCATATGGACCCCTAGGGCACCCCAGGATATTCCAAGGGGGCCACAGGTGAAAAATGTGTAAATGGGGGTCACAGCAAGAGGTTAGGGGGCACAGGGGGCATTGAGAAGTGAAGAAAGAAAATCAATTTTTTAAAAAATCGTGATTGGCTGGCTATCTACTTGGTGGGTAAGGGGGTGGCTCATAGGAACGTGGGTGGCGCTGTAGTCTAAACCACAGAGCCTAGGGCTTGCCGATCAGAAGGTCGGCGGTTCGAATCCCCGTGACGGGGTGAGCTCCCGTTGCTCGGTCCCTTCTCCTGCCAATCTAGCAGTTCAAAAGCACGTCAAAGTGCAGGTAGATAAATAGGTACCGCTCTGGCAGGAAGGTAAACGGCGTTTCTGTGCGCTGCTCTGGTTCGCCAGAAGTGGCTTAGTCATGCTGGGCCCATGACCCGGAAGCTGTATGCCGGCTCCCTCGGCCAATAAAGCGAGATGAGCGCTGCAACCCCAGAGTCGGCCATGACTGGACCTAATGGTCAGGGGTCCCTTTACCTTTTAAGGGGGTGGCCCACCAGGTGGGAGAGCTGAGGCTCCCATTTTGACCAGTCAAGCCCATAATCCAGAACCCCCAGGTCAGGTAAGTGCCATGGTGGGATGGCAATGGGTAGGGCTAGGTAAGCTGGGCCCCATGGCAGCCTGGGCCTGACTCTGCAAGGTGCAGGGTGCAATCTACCCCAGTTCCTAGTGGATCAGGGCCTTTGGATGTTGCTGAGGGGTACAGGCTAGCCAAGCAGAGTCTTCTGGTGCTGCTGATGACTTGCATCTAATAAATAATGAAGTGTCTACTCAGAGGAAAGTCGCACTGAGTTCAGTGGGCCTTACTCCCTGGTAAGGGTTTGTGGGACTCTAGGGCAGGTATCCCCAGCCTGCGGCCCTCCAGATGTTTTGGCCTACAACTCCCATGATCCCTAGGACCAGTGGTCAGGGATGATGGGAATTGTAGTCCAAAACATCTGGAGGGCCGAAGGTTGGGCATGCCTGCTCTAGGACTTTATCTAGGCAGTCAGGTCTCCTCCGGATAATAATAATAATAATACTGTAATAATAATAATAATAATAATAATAATAATAAAAAATAAAAATAAAAAATAATTTATTATTTATACCCCACCCATCTGGCTGGGTTTCCCCAGCCATTCTGGGTGGCTTCCAACAAAATATTAAAATGCAATAGTCCGTCAAACATTATAAGCTTCCTCAAACAGCCTTTTTGCACTATTTTTGCACAATATCTTTTTGCACCAGGTCAGTGAGGACCACTTGCATTTTAAAATTCCCCCTTATATACAGAACTCCCTGTGCACCTTTTGGACTGTATCTGTAGGTCCCCCCCCCCCCCCCGTCTCAAATAACTGGGGTCAAATAAGTGTTTACATTTTTTAATTCATGGAAGATGGATCTCCCTCAGAAGATTCTGGACTTTCCTTCCTTGGAGGTTTCTAAGCAGAGTTTGGATGGCCATCTGTCATGGATGCTTGAGCTGAGTTTCCTACATTGCCGGGGTGGGATGGGGTGGTTGCACTACAAAGATGGCCCTTGGGGTCCCTTCCAGCTCCATGAACCTTTGTTTTTCTGCTATAACAATATTTCATTATGTTCCTATCATTATATGTAATTGTATTTTGTATCAATTATAAAAATTATAAATAAAACATGTTCTATTTACAATCAAAAATTTAAACGGCTATCTTTCTACTGGTAGGATGGGGGGGGGGACAAAGGCCTAGCCAGGATTTTTGTTAGGGCAGCAGGCTTTTGCTGGGGGGGGGCAGAACCTCAGATATATATTTATTTTTACTTATTGGGGGCAGCTGCCCCCCTTGGCTATGCCCTTGGGGGGCCCACGGGAAAGAAACAAGGTTGAAAGGGGGCCACAGTTGGGAAAATGTTGGGAAACACTGTGTTAGGCAAAGTGAAGAGACCACCTCAGGCGACAGGTGTGGGCGGGGGAAGAACAGTGCTTCAAAAACTAAGTATCTCTAACCAGTGTGGAATGTGAAACACAGAGCAGTCAAATACAACATTCCTAGAGTGGACATAAAAAGGGGGTGTCTGGACCAGCCAGTCGGAACTTCCTGTTTCCTCTACATGTGACCAGAGGTGGGCGTGACCTCACCTGGGCAGGTAACAAAACAGCATAGGGAAGGCAGCCATCTCTCTTTCTGACTCCATTCCTCGAAGAAGCAACATCTTCTTAGCCTGAGATGCTTGCAACCAAGAGAGGACAAAGGAACTATCTCCTTATGGGATAGATTCCAGGTGTATATATTTTGTAACCTAAGGCTGCCTTCTGGGATCCATCTGTGAACAGAATGTGTGTGAGTAAACTCTTTTATACAAGACTGTGTCATGTTTAATCTTTTTAAAGAGGGAATAAGGGGAATTACCAGGAAACTTATTTTAGAGGCTTAAACAAGCCTGGCAAAGACGTTATCCGCTGTACAAGTTTAAAAAGGGAAATGTTGCTCTGCTAAATTATAGAACTTGTTAACACAAGTTGGGAAGGATATAATTAAACAGTATATCTCCTGCCTCCCTGAACATTCCCACAACCAACACTTTAAAAATAAATCTGTTGGTCCGATATGTGAATCTTTCTTTCTTTCAGCTTAAAATGGATGGGCTTCCTCGGTCGTAAATGTGTGCAGCCTGCACCGCCTACCCTGTTCATACAGTGGTCATGTGTCCTATTTTACAGAGGGCAGTCCTCTGCTTGAAGGTCTGTTACAGGAGAGTCCTCTCTTGGGACGATTTCTCTCTTTGAAGTCCATGTCCAGTTTCAATATCCAGGGGAAGGGCTACTGCTCAGGGGCAGAGCATCTGCTGTATCCCTGGCATCTCCAGGTAGAGCTGGGAATGTCTGTGGGAATGTTCAGGGATGCAGGAGAGGATATATTGTCTGATTATATCCCTTCCAACTTGTGTTAACAAGTTTTACAATTTAGCAGAGCAACATCCCCCTTTTTAAACTTGCACAGCGGATGCGTTTGCTCAGGCTCACTAAAGCCTCTATAATAAGTTATTTGGTAATTTCCCTTTTAGTCCCTCATAAAAGAAATAGACACGACACAGTCTTCTATAAAAGTATAAAAGAGTTTACTCACTAACATTCTGTTCACAGATGGATCCCAGAAGGCAGACTTAAGTTACAAAAGTAATATACCTGGAATCTATCCCATAGAGATAGACCCTTTGTTCTCTCTTGGTTGGAAGCCAAGAGAACATCTTAGGCTAAGCAGATGTTGCTTCTTCGATGAATATAGTCAGAGAGAGAGAGATAGTGGCAAGTCCTATGCTTTTGTTACCTGCACAGGTGAGGCCATGCACAGGTGAGTCCCAGCCTAGGCCTTCCTTCCAGCCTTCCTTCCTTCCTTCCTTCCTCTTAACCCTAAATTTGTATGTACTGCTGAGACACACCTGTGAGACACTAATCAGTGTGTTTCACCACAGTGATGCTCATGCAGAACCAAATATGATGTTTCATATCCTCAAGATACCGCCTGCCCTCTGGGACTCTGTGGACCATTTGCACGCTCTCCAGAAACAATACTGAGAGTGAGTGGCCTCCTCATTTATCCCTCCCTCCGCCTTCCCCTGCACTGCATCCTGAAGCTTATGTCTCTTTGGGACAATCTGTGTGCAAAGGCTGGTGGGAAAGACTGGTTTGGTGGTCCTCACCCAGAGGTCTTCTCCAAACTTTGCATGCAGGAAGAAGTTTCCTCTCTGGATCTTCCCAGTCTTATTTCCCAGCCCTGGTAAAAAAAAACAAGCAACCCTACTCTTTTGTTTTCACTCTCTATTATTTTGCACCATATTAGTGCCCTCTGATTACTTGGTTGACCTAGCAAAGGGCTGTGTCTTCCAGAAGGGAGCAAGCTGAGGAAGGGAGTGGGTTGGGGTAGACACGTGTTTGTTTTCGTTTAAGAAATGTTTAATTTGCACCGTGATGAGTCATTTGGCTCTGAGCCCAGACAGCTTGCAATGCTTGCAATGGGGCAGACTGTGGCGCTGTTGGTTCAGCTTGGGAAATCTCACTCTGCAGGAGGCTGGGAGACAGTTTGGTGGCAATGCTCTTTTTCTGGATTTCCTGCATCAAGCAGTGTGTTGGACAAGACGTGATTTTTGTCTCCTCTTAGTTAAAAAATAAATGCTTCAAAAATTTTTTGGCTCAGGGATGGAGAAACTCACACACTCTATATTTAATTATCTATTTTATGGAAACATACACATTGTTTCTAAAGTACTTCAGTCTAAAATATATATTTTGTAATGCTCTTTGTTACATCTTCCAAGCTGAGACCTCAGTCGCAAAAAAGCACAATATTCAAAGGAAAAAAATGAATTTTGATCTACACAGCAGCTACTGGAGTTGCAAAACCAGGCCATTTTGCATTGGAACTCACAGAAGTCAACTTTTCTTACTCCCAAGTAAGTGCACATCGGATTGCTGCTTATAATGGGTGTGTTGGACAGACAATATGTCTGTTTGTTCAGTACAATGGGAAGTTATGATCTACGCCAGGGGTAGGGATGGGTAGGCCTGTCCATTTAAGTTTCTCTGCGTTTCTTAATTTCCAACCTGAATTTCCATTCTTCCTATTTCAACATTATATTGTGAACCGCCCTGTGATCATCAGGTGAAGGGTAGTATATAAATTTAATAAATAAAATAAAATAAGTAAATCAGTTTGCGATTAGATATACCTTTAATTCCTTGTGAAAACTCACCAACATTCTTGTGTGAATTTCTCCTGAAATGAACATTTCAGTGCATTTCCCCCAGCATAATTAATCTTTGCTTGCTTTTTTTTTAAGTAATAGATGCAAGATGCCTCTGCACAGGCATGAACACTAGGGCGGTTCATAAAAAACCTTTTTTTTAAAATGCCTGCTCCAAAGGTCTTATCTTACTACACTAGGGATTATATAGCTGCAGTATATCTGAAATTTCATGCATATCAGTTTATGTCTTGACCCTGCTCTGCTGAATTGAAATTTCAGCCTTCACGACATAGGAAAACGGCCAAATAAACAGCTATTTTCGTGGAGGAGGGTCAATACATTGACTGATAGGCATAAAATTTCAGATATCCCTAGTGTAGTACGATAAGACTTTTGGAGCAGACATTTTCAAAAAAAAAAGAAGTTTGCTATGAACCACCCTAATGCACACATAGATGTGTTCCTCCCCACCCCTTACACGGAGTTGTGTCTTTGCCGCTCACTCATGGCTACTCTGTGGGAAGCGCTGTTTTACTTGGAAGTGCTCGCATCGCTTGTGCTTCATGGAGAGGCCATAGCGAGGGGTCATGTCCACCTTCACCCCGTCCGGGATACTGAACTGCAGTTGCTGGAGCAAAGTGGCTAGGAAGAGGAAGACCTGCCACCGGGCAAGAGGCTCTCCAATGCACCTCCTCTTCCCCAGGCCAAAGGCCAGGACCTTCTCGCTCTCATCCCGGTTGATGCCCTTCCCGTTGGCAGTCAGGAATCGCTCTGGCTTAAAGGAGGAAGGGGATTCCCAAAGGGTTCTGGAAAAAGGAGCATTTTTTGAATGAATGAATGAATGAATGAATGAATGAATGAAAGAAAGAGCATGCAAACTCCTTGCCTCAAGCAGAGATGAGAGAAAAATATTGATTCAGTTTGCATAAGGACACTCTGAAACAATACACTAGCTGAAACACAGCCATCCTTTAAACTCACACTTTCCGGAATTTTGTAACACAGTTCTCTGGCCAAGTAGAAAAATGCTTAAACTGGGGTAAAACATGCCTGGGAATGCATATATTGGTGAGAATGATATATGCATGCATTATATCAGGAGTGTTCAGCAAAAATGTGTAGGTCAGGCAAGATTTCATACAGATATGTGTCTACAAGGAGAAATTTGTTGAATTATTTTCATGAGGACATTTTTTAAAAGAAGATTTTAAAAAGAATATAACTGAAAGAAACTAAAATTGACCAATTCATCAATCCCTAATCTCATGTGCATCTATTTACTATTTCTCTGAACTGGGGTGTGGCGTGGCAGGGCAGGGTGATATGGCCCCGGGCACACACTTTTGAGGGGGTGCCCCCCCCAGGGATCCTCATCCTGCCCTGCCTACCACTGGGGGGTCTCTGGGCCCCAGAGCCTAGCCAGGCCATGCCGCCAAGTCCCTGGGCCCCTCACTCCGATGGCAAGCAGCTACAGGTGGAAGGAGGCAGGCAAGAGATGACTCCAGTGTAGCCTGGCACTCCTCTCCGCAGGCACTGGGGGGATTCACCTGCCAAGGGCTGTGTTGACTGGCTGGGCTCCGCTGTACGTAGGCAGGCAGGCAGCACGGCTCAGCCCCACTTCTATCTGGTGGTGAGGGCTGGGCTGGTACAGCAGACTTTGTTCAACTTCCGCGCCCGGGTGCCAGCAAACTCCACTACGCCACTGATCTGATGTGGCCAATGTGGTGCCCTCACCTTACCCTTGACCATTAGCTATGTTGGCTGGGACTAAATGGACATTGAATTCAGCAATACCTGGAGTACAACAGAAGCCTTATTTTTTGTTTTAAAAAGCTACTTCTTGTTGTTGTTGTTGTTGTTAATAATAATAATAAATAACATTCCTTGGGCCAGGGACTAGCTTCACGACTGCCAGAGGGAGCAGCTAACTAGGACTCTCTCTTCTAGACTGGAAACAGGGAGAAGCAGCTGCCCTTGAACTCAACATTTTGAGGAAGGTTGTGATGTCTGTTCAAAAAGGCATAATGGTGAATCCAAAGCTGGTTCGCTGTTGAAGATACATTCTCTTACACACTGCCTCATCTCCACAGCAGTGTGAGATTTCGGGGGTCCAGGCTTACCCAGGGTCTGAGAACCCCTTGGAAATGAGGCACAGAGGAGACTGTGGCGTCTTTAGGGTATATGGTTTCATTTACACATATATACAACCTGCCCCTGGGTGGTGAGACTGCAGAGCAGTCACATCTCAAGAGGGCCTTGTTTCGCCCACGGCTGCAGCCTCAGATTCCAAGAGACCCCAAACATCATGTGTGACCCTCTCTGCAGGATAAAACAGACAGACCGTCTTGTGCTTTGCCCCACCCCCTCCAGCTTGCAAAATCGACCCTTTTTTCTTTTTCGCTTAGCTCATCTCCCACTTCAATCCTGGATGCTTCCTCTCCCATCTCTGGTATGGTCTCAGCAGAGAGTGTTTTGCCTTGTTGATGGCTTTCCTTGAGGGTTAATAACTGGCCATCATCTTCTTCTGTCCTCCTAATGACCCTCCTTCAGTGAGCTGGTCTGGCTTGTAAACATAAACTAAGCCCAGGGATTTCCATCTTTGGCACAGTTTAGCCAAACTTTGATCAATTCTAACTTTTAATGAATCCAAGAATTTTGGGTGAGTTGCACTCACGAACTCTGGCACCCAGAACCTATACCAGTATGTCTGTAACATATTCACACTTAAAATCAGGGATGGGGAACCTGCAGCCCTCCAGATGTCGTTGGACTCCAACTCACATCATCTCTGACCACTGGTTACACATGCTGGGACTTACGGGAGCTGGAGCACAACAGTATCTAGAGAGCACCCAATACCCCATCCCTGCTTAAATGAGTGCTAAGGAACATGACTGATGGGTACAGTGAGCATGCACAAGGTGTGGGGAACATGTCTTCCCAAGGGCTGAGATACACTTACTCATCATGGTTGACTTGCCACTGGTTGACAAAGACACAGAGGTCCCTTGGGATGTAGTAGCCATTCAAAACAGTGTCTTTGGTTGTACTGAAATGGGAAATAAATGTATTCATTGGGAAAACCCCACAAAGCACCTGAAGGGATGGAAGAGTGGAAGGAATATCAGATGGAATTTGGGAGGCTGTAGGAAGGAAATGAATGCCATGCAATGGGGAAAGGGATGGAGATTAATAGGGCAGTTTCAGTTTTGGTCTTCTCCGACCCTGCCCATTTCCCCTCTGATCCCATCCGCTTGGTCCCCAGAAGGCACAAATCTGCCCCCACTGAAAAAACCCCTGCCCCCTGCTGCAGTGGCCAAGGTCAAGTCATATTAGGCACCCGTAAAGACAAAACAAGAAGGAAGCCACCCCAATCATCCTAGGTTGCCATGCATTGTCCTTAAAGATTGATCAGTCTCAGACTAAGGTTACAGGTTTTTTTCAGTAAATCCGGGGACACTTTAAATGAATGAATGAATGAATGAATGAATGAATGAATGTTCGGGACATTGATGCTGCAGCGATAGCGGTGGCAGAGGGGCAGCCACCGCCTTGACCTCAACCACCATGTTTCCCCTTCCTCCGAGGCTCCTTTCTCCTTTCTCCATGAGCCTGGGCAGCCCCTGAGTTGTTGGTTCTTCGGTGGTGGTGGTGGGGAAGCGGTGTGCGGTGGGTCAGGCATGGAAGGCAGGCAGGGGGCAGGGATCTTTCAGGCAGCGCGATGCCTCCTTTCCCCAATCCCATTCCTACTTGCATGCAAGCAGGAGGGGGCGGGGATCCCTCAGCTGGGAAGGAAGGCTTCCCATTGCCTAACTGAAGAAGAAGAAGAAGAAGAAGAAGAAGAAGAAGAAGAAGAGGAGTTTGGATTTGATATCCCGCCTTTCACTCCCTTTAAGGAGTCTCAAAGCGGCTAACATTCTCCTTTCCCTTCCTCTCCCACAACAAACACTCTGTGAGGTGAGTGGAGCTGAGAGACTTCAAAGAAGTGTGACTAGCCCAAGGTCACCCAGCAGCTGCATGTGGAGGAGCGGGGAAGCAAACCCGGTTCCCCAGATTACGAGACTACCGCTCTTAACCACCACACCACACTGGCTCTCTAAGAGAGATCCGTGTCCCCTCCTGCTTGCACGCAAGCTCTGATAGGCAGCGTGAAGCCTCGCTTCACAGCTGAGAGATCCCTGCCCCCTCCTGATGCACGCAAGTAGGAGTTGGGAGGCTGCTCCAATAGGCAGCATGAAGCCTCCCTTCACAGCTTAGTTGCTGGAGTCAGGGAGGGTGGAGGCAGCCCAAAAGCTGCATCTTAGGCCCCCTGCACCACCATCATATGGGGACTTCCGAGCAGCTCCTGAAGCCAGACAGAGCCAACTGCTCTGGGCTGCTGAGACTGCAGCTGCTGCATTTCCCAGGGACATCAGATGAAATCCGGGGACATTCCGGGGATGGAATTTGTCCGGGACTTATTCGCAAATCCTGGAACTGTCCCTGGGAAATGGGGATGTCTGGTAACCCTATCTCAGACATTTCTCTCCCTGATCATGAAGACCTGGAGTTTTCTTCATTTTTGAAAGGTGAAAACCCTGAAAATGCTGCTAATTCCATACCAGATGGCCCACCCCATGTAGACACAAGGAAGGCACAGGCTGAGGGTGAGGCCCCTCATGGACATGAGCTGGGGAATTGGGATGGGTTTGTGTGGCGATCACACAGGGTCCCTGGACGTTTAATGGCCTATTGATCCCTGTGCCACCACTGTGCTCACTTCCCCACTGCCACCAACCCATTACTCTCTGGTAAAACACTGAGTCCAGTCAGTTGTTAAAAGTGAACCAAAAAAACACAAGTTCATTTTACAAACATTAACAAGTTTATGGTTTCTCAGGTAATATTCCTGTCAGTATCTTAACTTTAGTTTCTTTACCGGCCTGTACCTTCTGACTGATTATCTCAACTGTTTGACTGACTCCTCTTAACAAATTCTCTCACTCTCTCCCACCAGACTAGCCCAACCCACAGGCTTATCTTCTCTGTCTCTTCTAACTCCAGACTGTCTTCTGAACAACTCTAACTCACTAAAAACCCTCTGTGCTTAAACCTTATACACAGTTAACTCCTCCCCCTGGGTTCCCGTTGGTTAGTCATTTTACAATTAGCTACCCCTTTCCCTATGAACCCAGTATGATGTCACACAAATGCCACAGTTTGCTTGTCTCTTTGGAAGGCTCAGGACTTACCAGTGAGGGATTGTGAAGGGCAGGAAGGAGGAGTGCCTGAACACCTCCAGGATGAAGGCTTCAGTGTAAGGCATCTGGGGACGGTCCGACAGCCGGGGCTTGCGCTCTCGGCCAATGCTCTCATCTACAGGTTAAGCATAAGAACATCAGAAGACTCCACTGGATCAGGCCAGTGGCCCATCTAGTCCAGCCTCCTGTTCTCTCAGGGCCCAACCAGATGCCCATTCTGCGAAACCAGCAAGCAGGACTCCAGCACAGGAGCCTTCCCCCCTCCTCTGGTTTCCAACAACTGGTATTCAGAAGTATTGCTGGCTCTGTCTGTGGAGGCAGCCATTGCAGCTAGCAGCCACTGAGAGTCCTTTCCTCCATGAATTTGTCTTTTAAAGCCATCCAGGTTAAAGAGGAGAGAAAGAAACTGGGATCCAGTCTGCCAAAGAGACGTGTGAATTATTATAAACAAAGTTTTACCTATTTCTTCCTGAATCTTCTTTTGGATTTCTGGATAGACAGTAAGATACATGAGGCACCAGGACAAGGCTGTGGTCACTGTGTCAAACCCTGGGGGGGAAACAGAGCAGTGTTTTTTAAAACAAAACGACAACCCAAAAGCCTCTTTTTAAAAAAGTTAACCTCCTTTTTTAAAGGTGAATATAATTTTAGTCTGCATCAATTAAATAGTATCCAAGTCTCAATAGTTTCCATCTGAGTGAGTGTGTATATAATTAGACATGCTGTTGAGAATGGGGACACATATCTGTACGTCTCCCAGATGTTCATAATACCAGAGCTCAGGTTCATCCAAAGAACCAGACTGTGGGGAGATTCAAGACAGACCAAAGAGAATTGGGGAGCTACCTTACAATTACAGTGGTACCTCAGGTTAAGAACTTAATTCCTTCTGGAGGTCCGTTCTTAACCTGAAACTGTTCTTAACCTGAGGTACCACTTTAGCTAATAGGGCCTCCTGCTGCTGGCATGCGATTTCTGTTCTCATCCTGAAGCAAAGTTCTTAACCCGAGGTACTATTTCTGGGTTAGCGGAGTCTGTAACCTGAAGCGTCTGTAACCCGAGGTACCACTGTACTTGGTACTGGGAAACCAATTCATCACAGCTCAAGAATCCCTGACAGAGGGTCATGCAACCTTCAAAGGAAACCTGTTCAATGGGTCTTATCATCAGAAAGATCTTCTGAATGTTTAGTTGGAACCTCCTTTCATGTCATTAGAATCCATTGGTTCTGAACCTCCCTCTGGAGCACAAGAAACGAGCTTGCTCCATCTTCCATGGGGAAGCCCTTCAGATATTTTCTCGAAACCTCCTTACCTGCCCCAAATAGGTCATTGACGAGGGTCACTACTTTTTCAGATGAGAGTTGGAGCTTTGCGTTTTCTTGGCTTTGGTCGATGAGGGAGTCTGTGATGTCCCGGATGTTGTCCTGGGAAGGAATAGAGACTCAGTTCACAATTATGGTGGTTAGAAGCCAGTTCTTGACTTCCCAGCTTTTTTCCTGGTGCTGCTCTTGTGATTTGACAGCAAGGACAGCCTGTATTTGTTAAAGCATGCATTTTCATTGGATTTTAATGGGCATGCACTCTTAAAATGAAATTTCATCGCAGTTTTTCTAGTGTTGACTCTGGTTTTGTTTTTTAACAACAACCAAACATGTGGTGGCCATCCCGTACAAGATGAAATGCAACCAGAAGGTGGAAGAAAAGTAACATGGAGGGCATGACATTTCATGGCCTATCTGGGAAGTCCTTATTTCAGGCATAGGCAAACTCGGCCCTCCAGATGTTTTGGGACTAGCAGGACCAGTCTGTCAGGGATGATGGGAGTTGTAGTCCCAAAACATCTGGAGGGCTGAGTTTGCCTATGCCTGCCTTAGTCCATTATATAGGGAAGAGTCATAGCTCAGTGGTAGAAGATCTCCGGTTCAGTCCCCACTGGCATTGCAGGGAAGGGCTGGAAATATTTCCTGCCTGGAACCATGGAGAACCACTGCTGCCAGTCAGAATGGACAATGGTGAGCCTGAAGGACTTATAGCCCAACCTGGCATGAAGCAGTTCCCTGCATCCCTTACCTTGCTGAAGCTCTCATAGTGCTCTTGGACGATCTTCTGCAGGAAGGTAGTGAAGCGTTGGTTGATGGCCTTAAACTTCTGTATGTTGTTGCTTGGGAGGTACTGGAGGGCAGGGATGTAGTCAGCCGGGTTGCCGGAGGATGCAAACTCCCCAAAGTCCTCGCTCACATTCACTATGCTGAGCAGCTCCTCATCTTCATGTCTGTAGCGCTTGCCAAAGCAAATGGCACTGATGACGTTGGCCACAGAGACCACCAGGTACCGGTAAGGGTCGAGGCTCTTCTTCTCCAGCATCACCTGCTGCAGTTTCATCACCAGGTAGGTGGCCTCTTTGGAGACGTGCTCTTCCAATAGGCAGGTGGAGGAGGAGTCAGGGCTGGGGGAAGCAGCGAAGCTTTTGAGGGCACTCTGGGCCAGTTTCCGGCGCATCTGCCACACCTCCCCAGAGTCTGTGCCGAAAACCAGGCTGTTGCCTCCTGACACGAAGCGGGAGCTGAACAGGTCAGGGCGGCCCATGAAGTCTCCTCCTTGCCTCACCAAGGCCTGCTTGATGGTCTCAAGGCCACTTAGCACTACCACTGGCCTCATGCCAATATGGATCTTCATCACATCTCCGTACTTCTGGCTCATTTGCGTCAGACTCAAGTGGGGGTTCTGCCCCAGATCCAACATGTTGCCAATGAATGGGTAGCCCCATGGCCCTGGGAGACTCTTTAGGCCCTGTGGCACCTGCGTCCGGAGGGATTTGATAGCGATGAAGATCAGGCAGAAAACAGCAATGGCGATGAGGGCTTCTGCAGCCGAGATGGTGCCCAGGATTCCCATCAGCGACATGGCAAATGGAGACAGGGTGGACGGGTAAGAAACCCTCCTGAAATGAGCCAAAGGACAGCCCAGGAGGCAGGGTTAGCGGGTGAAAGTCTGTGTTTGGCTTTGCTGAACTCAGAGAGTTGCAAGCAAAGAACCAAATACTTGCAGATTAAGTTACATCGTGCAAGAGAGTGTGTTCAGAAAGGACTCATTCAGGTGTCCTACATGCCAGGAAACGAAATTCCTGCAGATCTGTTGTCTAAGGTTGTTAACAGAGAACAACTTAAGGTTTATGTACAGCAGTTGCAATTGGGTTGAACCACAGGTGAAACAGGTTACACGGAAAGGGGGAGGATGTCAGAACATTCCGTTCCACCTTAAAAGGAACAGGCATGCTTGTTGTGTGTCACATGCATGTTTACCTTCCAGCACAGCTTGCTGGGAACTTCCGTTGTGTATAGCTTTTGCTTATGCTTCTTGCTCGGACACGAAAGGGGGAAGACATGTTTTTTCCTTTGTCCTGATGTATGCTGAATAAACTGCTTGTAAATACGCTTTACATATGCCTCTATCTGCCTTTCTGTTGCGAAATTTGTTTACTCTGCTGGCTTGTGTGCTCAGCTTCTGAAAGGCTTCTGAAGCTCTGAGTCACAGTTTTGATGCAGAACCAAGGACTGGAGTTCGGCCGGCAACTGGCCGGTGGGCTGGAGCCAGCTGGGGGCCTGACCATTGACCAGTCTGGCTGAGGCTGATAGGACATGGAGTCCAAAGACTCTTGGAGGGCCACAGTTTCCCCAGCTCTAGTCTATAGGGATGCTACTATGAGTAATACCAGCTTTCATGGTTGTTAAATCAAACTACCACTCCCTCGGAAGGTGGTGAACTCTCCCTCCTTGGAGGTTTTTAAAGCAGAGATTGGGTGGCCATCTGTCAGTGATGCTTTAGTTGAGATTCCTGCATTGCAGGGGCTGGACTAGATGACCATCGGGGTCCCTTCCAGCTCTACAGTTCTATTATTCTAAAACAGCTAGATACCATGTATATGGAGGCAATGCATGACCTTCCTTAGTTGGGGCTGATTCATACGACCATTAAAAATGCATTTGCTATTATTTTTAATTTAACCGCTGCTCCTTTCACAAAGCCCTCCATCTGCTTCTTACTTGCCTTGCCGTTTTCAGTGTCTTTCTGCTTTTTTCTGTTCTCAGGCACCGAGCTGATTGCCAATGACCTTTCATTACTGGTTGTCAATGAACTTGCAATAGTCAATAAAAACACATTCTCCATCTGCTATATATTTTGGAAAGTTCGAGGAAGTTGTTTGTTTGTTCTGCATCTGGACACTTCTTAAAGTATCATCACTGAATTTTGCACATTGGCTATTGAGATCAAGGAGCAGGTTTTTGCCTCTCTTTGGAGACAAGTGGATGCCAATTTGAATCAAGGTCGTGGGCTGAACCTTTCACAACAGAGCTGGTTTTTTTTCTTTTGGGGTTGTTGTTTTTCGGTGTCTCAGAATTCCTGAGCAATGCCAGGTATGAGGCTGCTAGCCTATAATAAATGTTCTACGTCATAGGAATAGAAATCTATTCTTTGACATTTTCGTGGAGAAGCAGCAGAGACTGTACCACAGTCGCTAACATTAACCAGTTGTAGAAACTTTTCAAATGCCTGTCATAATCTTCCAGTCTTCCAAACTGCTTCCTTCTTTCCCCTTGTGGAGAGCGGGGAAACCTTCCCAGATCGCCCCCACCAGCAAAAGTGTGCTATAACTTATGGACAATCTTCTTAAACTTATTTTCTGGGGGATAGGCAGAGGAGTTTTCCTCCAGATTATTTTCTTACATGTATATCTCTACCTTCAGGTAGCCCTGAAGTTTTTAATGTTTGACGTTTTACTATGTTTTTATATACACTGTAAGCTGCCCAGAGCAGCTGGGGAAACCCAGCCAGATGGGCGGGATATAAATAATGATAATGATAATGATAATGATAATGATAATGATAATGATAATGTTAATGATAATTCTGCCATACGACGCGACTCTGCAGTAAACTTCCGGGCTCTGGCCAGATCCAGTGTCAGCCCAACAATGGCCCCAGGTGCCTTCAGACTACATTTGGGAAAGATAACAGAGTCGACCCAGGTCCCATCTCTGCTTCTGCAGGTTTCCCCATATCCCATCCCTGCTACTTATGGTCAAAATCCCCTTCCCTGCCTGGGAAGGGTACACTTTCCCATCTGGGACCATCTCTATCCTATATTCCCTATACAACAACTAGCACATAGCAGACTTATACTAAACAGGTAAAATGATACATTGCTATGCTACCTTATAATAGGATGATGCAGAAAAAGGCCTGCAGTGGAAATCTAGGCATGTTGACTTGGAGGTAAATCCCAGCATGTTTTCTGGGGCTTGCCAGCAGGCAATCATGCAAACATTTACAGCTCAGCACAATACAGACCTGTGTAGCTCAGATGGGCGAAGGAACTGGAGTCTTGACCAGTGCCGTAGCTAATCCAGTCAGGATTTTCTGTCTAGATCTCTCTCTTCTCCCTGTGGACATGCTGTGCTGAGCAGTTCCAGAGGTCATTTTATGCGCTGCCCTCAGATTGGCCAATCCACGCCCTCTTCCGCTGGCCAAATCCACATCTTCCCAGCCAAGGCTGGACTAACAAACAGCTAGTATTGGAGGAAGCCCAATAAAAACACCCCACTCCATTCCACTCCAGATTGTGGTGGAAGCAAAGAACATGTCCCACATCAGCCAGCCACAGCCTTGTTGATTGCCACAAGCACATTCCAAGTGTTCTTGAGCTGTTGCGGTTTTTGCATTGTCTTGAGTTGTAATGCTGCATTGAATAAAATTTGATTTCATTTTTTTTATCAAAGCAAGCTCTTGGTCATTGCAGGAGAAATTCACCAAACTAAAAAGACTTCTGTTTGTTGAAATGTATAGCTTGCACCAACTCAGCTCAGCAAATTGGAACAAAACAATGAGTGGTATTAAACCAGGTTTTACTCAGAGTAAACCCATCGAAATTAATGGGCCGAAATTAGTCATGTTTATTGATTTCTGTGGGTCTACACTTAGCTGAATATCACCCAAATGCAACTGATTGACCTTTCTCCAGTCTTCCTGCCTGAGCCCCAAAGTCCAACTACAAAGGGCAGAGGTTTCCCAGGAGTAAAGCTGTCCAGTTTGAAGAAGAAGAATCATATGAAGGAAGGTTAGGGGCCTTGAAGTTGCCCATTGTCCCCAGTTAGCACTTCGACAGCAGACTGAGCAGACATGCAGGGGACTTGGCCAAAGCCCACCCCACCAGGAGAAAGAAGAGGTCTTGTGTTTCTGTTTGAATGGGGGTGATTATTTCTATGCATTTAATTTAGCATATGCACATCTTATGCAAGGCGAGAAGAGACAGGAGAGCAATCCAAACGCCGGAAGGTCTGTTGCCTGGAAGATGGAGCAAGCTTGTTTTCTACTGCTCTGGTGGGGCGGACCCAAACCAGCTGATTCAAAAGGCAAGAAATGTGATTCCAGCTAAAGGCTTGGAAGAACATTTGAGGGTAAGAGTGATGGCTCTGACCTATAAAACCTTAAATGGCTGAGGAGCACAATGCCTCAAGGACCGCCTTTCTCTTTATGAACCTACCTGGACCCTGAAATCATCTTCTGAGTCCCTTCTTCATGTGCCTCCTCCATGAGAGGTCCAGAGGGTGGCAACACAAGAACGGGCCTTTTCTGCAGTGGCTCCCGGTTTGTGGAATGCTCTCCCCAGGAAGGCTGATCTGGAATCTTTGTTACACCAGGTGAAAATGTTCCTCTTTAACCAGGCCTTTGGCTGCTCGACATCTGATGCCCTTTTAAAATGTCTTATGGAAGGGGGGATAATTGGGTTGTTTTTGTTTTCACAGTGGTACCTCGGGTTAAGAACTTAATTCGTTCCAGAGGTCCGTTCTTAACCTGAAACCTCAGGTTCTTAACCTGAGGCACACTTTCGCTAATGGGGCCTCCTGCTGCCGCTGCACCACTGGCACGTGATTTCCATTCTTATCCTGGGGCAAAGTTCTTAACCTGGAACAACCACTTCCTGATTAGCAGAGTTTGTAACCTAAAGCGTCTGTAACCCGAGGCACCACTATATTATGTATTTCTGTTTTTTATGTTGTGATTTTATGTTGTGAACTGCCCTGAGATCTACAGGTATATGGCAGTATACCTAATAATAATAATAATAATAATAATAATAATAATAATAGCTGTTTGACAGTGGAATGAACTCCCTTGCATGGCGATGGACTCTTCTTCATTGGAAGTTTTTAAACAGAAGTTGGACATGTATCTGTCAGAGATTCTTGAGCTGTGTTATTCCTGCATTGCAGGGGATTAGACTAGATGATCCTTTGGGATCCCTTCCAAATGTACATTTCTATGATATTTCTGTCCTTAATTTCCTTTTGAGGGTGGAAGACAATGTGTTGGTGGCCGACTGATCTTTGAGAGGTGCTGAGGATTGGATTTTGATGACTCTGCATTGGAAAGGGGTCCACAGCTGGTACCTAGGGTGTGTTGGGCAAGAGAGTGGTGCTGAGCACCTTGGACCAGAAGTTCTCTTCCTCCAAAAGAACAAGAATACTGATATTGCCTGTGTGCACATAGGATTTGTTAGTCACCTTTAACCAGTAGGTCCCAGGACAGGTTGCCATAAATTAATGACACAAGTTAGAATTAAATAAAACTAACAATATCTACAACACCAAATAAATAGCTTAAAACAGAGAGTAAAGGTGGGTTGAAACACATGTTCTGAGTGGCTTGTCCCCATTAGCAGAAGATGCTAATTTTGCATAATTGGTTGTTGTTGTTGTTTAGTCGTTTAGTCGTGTCCGACTCTTCGTGACCCCCTGGACCAGAGCACGCCAGGCACTCCTGTCTTCCACTGCCTCCCGCAGTTTCCTCAAACTCATGTTAGCAGCTTCAATAACACTGTCCAACCATCTCGTCCCCTGTCGTCCCCTTCTCCTTGTGCCCTCCATCTTTCCCAACATCAGGGTCTTTTCCAGGGAGTCTTCTCTTCTCATGAGGTGGCCAAAGTCTTGGAGCCTCAGCTTCACGATCTGTCCTTCCAGTGAGCACTCAGGGCTGATTCCCTTCAGAATGGAGAGGTCTCCAAGAGTGAAAAATAGAATTATAGAATAATAGAATTGTAGAATTGGAAGTCATCTAGTCCCACCCCCTGCAATGCAGGAATTTTGGTACTATAGAAAGATAGAAACTGTTCTTATAGTGAGCCAGACCATTGGTCCATCTAGTTTGTATTGCCAACTCTGGCTGGCAGCAGACAAGACAGGAGTCTTTCCCAGACCTAACTGGAGGTGCCAGGGCTGAAGCTGGAACGCTCTGTATGCAAAGCAGATGCTCTATTGCTGAGCTGCAGTCCCACCCATGTCTCTGGACCTAGCTGACTATGTCGCTCTGTGCGACGCCAAACATGTGATGCGTTGGGTCACCTGGCAGGGCACCCTCGGTGGAAATTTTGTGGGTGAGGCACCCAGCCCACCCACCCTGAGATTCTGGCTATGTTAAAGTTACCAGATTTTTTTCCAATGAATCCGGGAACACTTTACAACTTCAATGGATTTTGTATGGGGACTGGTTTGTAAATCCGGGGATTGTCCTCGGGAAACAGGGATGTCTGGTAACCTTATGTGGTTGGGTAACCACGAAGGCAAGGAGGAAGAAAGGGAAAGGAAGGCCAGTGTTGGTTCAAGCAGGTGATCAAACTCCAAAGTCCCTGGTCAGGAGCAGCACTGCAGCTTGCGACAGGTCAGGTCAAACTGTGGTTAAAGATTGTCCAGCTTTGCGTGAGAAGCCTTTTGGCTGAGCTTCCCATTGTGCCCTGGAGTCCAGCAGGCAAGAGGAATGTGGTGAAAGAAGAGGTCAAGGCAGAGGAGGCTGGGCTGGAAAGAGGGAGCAGCCTTTGGGGGGAATCATAGAATCACGGAACTGTAGAACTGGAAGGGATCCCAAGAGATCAACTAGCCCAACCCTCTGCAATGCAGGAATCACAAGTGAAAGAACCCCTGACAGACAGTGGCATCACATGGGGAGGGCCAGAGGGGTAGTGGCGCAGGGAGCATTTGCTGGGGGGGGGCATTTTACTTCTTGATGCCCTGCCAGCCCCAGCCCCTGCATCCCTGCCCACCCGTGGCCCTTGGCAGGCACAGCAGCCACACACCTGAGGAGTGCACTCATGCTGTTTTGACAGCCTGTGTGAGAAGGATGAAACAGACATGGACCCTTCCTTTTCAGGGCGCATGCGTGTTGCATTTTTTCATCTCTGCCAAGCTAAGCAGTTGGCTCCTTACCTCTCCCGCCCTGTCCTACCCACTGTGATCCACGCGACGGTCACCTCCAGGCTTGATTATTGTAACTCGCTCTACGTGGGGCTGCCCTTGAGACTGACCCAGAAAATCCAGCGGGTGCAGAATGCCGCGGCGAGACTCCTTACGGGGTCTTCGCTGCGAGATCACATTCACCCAGTACTATACCAGCTGCACTGGCTCCCGGAGGAGTACGGGATCAGGTTTAAGGTGCTGGTTTTAACCTTCAAAGCCCTATACGGCCTAGGACCCTCGCACCTATGGGACCACCTCTCCTGGTATGTCCCACAGAGGACCTTACGGTCTTCAAACAAAAACATCTTGGAGGTCCCGGGCCACAGAGAGGTTAGGCTGGCCTCAACCAGAGCCAGGGCTTTTTCGGCTGTGGCTCTGATCTGGTGGAACGCTCTGTCCCAAGAGACTAGGGCCCTGCGGGACTTGACATCTTTCTGCAGGGCCTGCAAGACAGTGCTGTTCCACCAGGCCTTTGGCCAGGGCACAACCTGACCCCCTCCTTTGGCAATCCTCACAGAGCCCAATGGTTGCCATTAATCTGATTTGAACTGATTTTAGAATGAAATGATTTTAGAATGTTGTATCATTTTACTGTCGTTAGCCGCTCGGAGCCTGGCTTCGGCTGGGGAGGGCGGGATTTAAATAAAAATTATTATTATTATTATTATTATTATTATTATTATTATTTCCTCCTCATGCAGCCTTGCAGCATCACAAAGTGGCACAGAACTGGAAGGCAGTTTGAGTGCGCCCTTTGGGCAGGCAGGGACACAGCAATGTTTTACTTAGCGGCGGCAGCAGGGGCTGGGCGTGGGCTCCATTCACCTTCTGCGCTTCTGTGCCCGCACCATCCCGGGGGCACACCCACCCCCAGGCACCTGCCACGTGTGGTATGCAGCTGCTTACAGTGTGTGGTGTGCTGCAGCATGGCGGGCCAGGCGGGCCATTGTCCGGCGCAAAAAATTTCAAGGGCACAAGTTGGGTGAGGGATGCTTCCTCACCTCTGAATGTGTTTATTACATTGACGACCCAAACTACAACCCCTGTTTACCTAAAATGGCCATTCATGTATGTGCAAGGAGGATGACCCAGATGCAAGAGCTCCGTGGGAAGGTGAGGTGAGGCACCCTCTTTGAGAGCCACCTCCTTCCCAGGCTGTTGCCACCTCTGCCTCCTCCTTTGCCCCAGTGTCCTGTGCTGCCCAGTCCTGGAGCCCTGCAAGCTCCACCCAGGCTCCAGAGCTCAAGGCAACGACCAAGGTGACTCTCAAGGGGCGTGCCAGCCTAGGCTCAGTGAGGCAGC